TATTACATTTCGTGTAATAATATGCTTGATTGAAGTCCGAATCTGTTACTGCAGATTCATCTGCGGCTTCATATTATCGTTGTAGGGGAGATGGATCCCGAATCTGTTACTGCAGATTCATTTGCGTTTCCATTCCCTACATTTTGTTCGAATAAAAAGCTCACGCTGCACTATACAACCTGTACCTACTACTGGAACTGATATAGATTAAGTTAATTGTGTTGAAACATGCTTTGATGTTTCAAGGGGGTCGGCATGTTTAATTTAGAATTGCATAAAATATTGCTATTTATTGACCCCTGGTTTGGTCCTTAATTAGTCGTTAAAATGCACGCGCTACGGTTTATTTGACATTTTAACTGCTAATTATTTGACACTTGTTTTGCCGCCTCCTTTGCAAACGATATTGCGGGTGTTGTCTGTCCGAATGACAGCGAAATACTACTTGATGTCTAAAGGAGGCGGCAAAACAAGTGTCAAATAATTAGCAGTTAAAATGTCAAAGGCGCTAGCACAAGGTCGCAATTAACCGTAGCGCGTACATTTTAACGACTAATTAAGGACCAAACCAGGGGTCAATAAATAGCAATATTTTATGCAATTCTAAATTAAACAACTATATTTTTTATTTTTCCGAGACGAAATTATAATTCAAAATACAAAATTTTTTATCTTTTTTTGTCCATAACAAGGGAGTGTTGCCAACGTTTTTTTTAATGTTGCCAACTTTTATTTTGAACTGTCGATGTCGCTCCTATGCATTACCGTAATACCATTTTTGAAACGAAGCGACGGCGAGGGTGACTTGCACATAAAATCGACGACGACTATAGAAACGAACAACCGTAATTGGACCGAATATTTACACTTTTGCAATGTTTCTAAAAGACTGGACAAAATGCATTCTGAGCAAATGGTTTGTGTCTATATTGTCTAGATTACACTGTCTAGATTACATGTTAATATAAAACAAGTAAAAAAGCTGTAAGTTCGGCCGGGCCGAACTTTTAATACCCTCCACCATTTGGTACAAATTTGGCAATTTCAAAAAAAAAAAAAAAAATAATAAAATCCGTTAAGAATTCTGTTAAAACCTTAAAAATGCCGAATGCTTATACGACGACGTGGACCTGCATATTCAACTTTTTTCATAAGTTATTACAATATTTACATGCGAAACTTGAAGAAAAATCTGTTTATAATGTAGTTAAAATCATCAAAATTCCGAATATGGGGGGTACCGTTATATGGGGGCTATACGTAGACGTGGACCTGCACAGACAATTTTCTAGCATGGGCTGAAATATCCATTACGAACTTCACATGCGAAATTTGAAACAATCCCGGTAAATAGTGTCGCTAAAATCATCAAAATGCCGAATATTGGGGGTACGGTATATGGGGGCTATATGAAGACGTGGACCTACATGGCCCATTTTCTGTTTTATGCTGCAGTATCTATTACGAACTTCAAATACCAAATTTGGAACAATTCCGCTAAATAATGTCGCTAAAACCAACAAAATACCGAATATCGGGGGGTACCGTTATATGGGGGCTACACGAAGACGTAGACCTGCACAGATAATTTTCTGTCTTACCCTGTAGTATCCCTTAAGAACTTCAAATGCCAAATTTGAAACAATTCCGGTGAATAATGTCGCTAAAATCATCAAAATACCGAATATCGGGAGGTACCGTTATATGGGGGCTATATTATAACTTGGACCTACATAGCCCATTTACGAACTTAACCTGCCTACTGGCAAAATATACATGTGTGCAAAATTTTAGCGTTCTATCTCAATTTGTTCGAAAGATAGCGTGATTACAACAGACGGACAGACAGACACACAGACGGACATGGCTAAATCGTCTTAGAATTTTACGCTGATCAAGAATATATATACTTTGTTGGGTCTGACATGAGTATTTCGAGGAGTTACAAACGGAATGACAAAATTAATATACCCTCCATAGTATGGTGGAGGGTATAAAAAAACACATTTATAGAAAAAAATGACAAACAAAACTTTGAAAACTCCAAAAATTTGGTTTCAAAATTCTATTCCATAGACTTTCCCAATCAATTGCATATTGCCTAAGCGGTTTAAATCGCTTAACATTGCTAAGTATGTTGTTACGATATCATAACAACAGAGGTATTTTCACAGGGTTGCCACATCTTGACTCTGTCTTGTCCCATCTTTATACTTCTATGTCTTTGGTTTCTAATCATGTGCTTTGTTGTACATTTTCATCACGGACATGTAACTACTGGTCTTATTATGGGTACCAAATTAGTTCAAAACGTTTTAAACTGTTCAAGGCAGCAAAATTTGGCTATTATTTTATCATCAGTGTGTAAAGTATGTATTTTTGATCATTGTCAAATTCTATTTCGGTTAAACTCTGTCCGCCTTTTTTTCACCCGTTGTTGTAGTATGATAAGGGTCGTAGACACTTAAAATATTGCACAGGATTCATTTCTAGGGCTATATGTCAGGCTCCAAATAGGTATATCCTCATATAAGTCCATCACGTGTCATTCCTGATTTTGCATATTCCTGACTGAATGAACTTTAATTTTCAGTACTGTAAGGTCTTTTCCGGCATTAATTGTTTAATAGTGGACTTTCACCTCCTCATGTAATAGGACTTTCACCTCCTCATGTAGATGGTCAACTGGTGTCATGAAAAGGCACCCTGTCGCAGTTCTCAGGGCAGAATTCTGGCAGGTCTGGATACTTTTCCAGCTAGCTGAGGCTTCGCTTGGAAATATGCGGCAAGCTCCCCGATATAGGGGTTCAGCCTTTCACATATGTCATCGCCCACTGGGCCTGAAGCCATGATCGTACAATCATCCGCATACGTTGCGATCTCTATGCCGTCAAGAGGGCGCGGAATTCTTAAAGGTAGAGGTTAAACAGTTCCGGAGATATCACCCAACCTTGGGGCTCCCTGTTTCACTCTACGGGCTTTGGACTTCTTGTTTCGGAATTCCACGTACGACTGAGGTCCACACAAATAGTTGATTATCCGACGTTTCAAACTTGGCCGGAGGGTGGTTCTCTTCACGTCCTCAAACAGTATGGCGTGGTTGACCGCATCAAATGCCTTTGATAGGTCAAGGGCTACCAACACTGTTATATCACACGGCTTGTTCTGGTTCAATCCTCTACTAATATGTGTGGAAATGGCTTGTAATGCTGTTGTTGTACTATGTTGTGGACGGACTCCGTGCTGATGGTTAGAACTGGACAGCTTCCTCTAATGCTGGGAGGAGTCTAAGCTACTGGCGACAAAACCCAAATCGACCTGTACGATTCGCCTTTACTGGCATCCTTGGCTGGCTTCCGTAGCAGTCAATCTGCTCTGCCAGCGCAGGTCATTACCTAGGACGGAATGCCACAACTCATGGTGGCCATTAAAATCCCCTAGTACCAGGTGGTTGTTGCCTACAAACAATGGGCTAACATCTGGCAAATACCGAGGTTCACAGCGGTAGACTAGCATAAGCGAGATAGGTCTGTACTGAACAGAATGGTGTAACAGGAACGCTAATCCCCCCTCCACTTCTGGTGCGATCCTTCCTTAGTACGTTGTACCCATAACAACGTTGTAGGCTGCAATTTTCGTTCAGCTTGGTTTCTTGCACCGCTGCGATCTCAATATTCCTCCGATTTATAAATTCCACTAACTCATCAATTTTGCTTGGAGTCCGTTGCAATTGAATTGCAAGAAAGATGCACAATCCGGAGTTGGAAAAGTAACATGTGACGTTAGATGCTGTGGTGTTGGTTGCTGTTCTGGAGACTGCGATGGAGTTCCATCCTCCGACGACGCCTCTGATGAGGACGACGAAGAAGTGGACTCGCTGGCGACTACGCTACTGTAGCACGTCGCAACATAATCCCTCTCGCTGTAGTCTCGCAAACGTCTTAATCCGGAACAGTTCTTGAATTGCACTCATTCTCTACATCCATTACATCGCATCGAAACAGATCTATGGTGGATGACGTTCCGACAAACCGAGCGGAACTAAGGTCCGTGGTTTTCCTATATCCCGGTACGGATCAATAAAATCGGAGCAAGCATTCCGGGATATGCTGCTCCCAATACAGAAAAATAAAGAAACACAAACATGTACATACTGGGTTGGCAGTCGCTGGCCGAAACTGGGATGTTGTTGTTTCGAGTCAATCCAGTATCGTGGAATTACATTTTTATTACTAATTACATTTTTGTACAAAATTCTTTTTTTGTGTTCTTTTTGTTTTGTTGTTCCTCTTTGCTTCAGTTTATTATTCGTAATACAACATTGTTTGGTTTTCACAGATGAATAATTTTTCTTTGAAGAAAAAATTATTTTCAAGAAAAAAAAAATGATGTGGCAACGCTTCGTCATTTGAAAAACTGTTAGAATTTGCTAATTATTTTGAATAATAAGATAAAAATGGAAATTTAATTGTGTATTTGTAATTAAGACAACGTCTTTATTACTTAAAAGTGTTTGGAGAGAGTATTAAGTCACAAGTTTCCATAAAAATAACTTTTCACTTGCAAAAACAAAAGTTGTTTCAAATTTTGCGTTTTACGATACCTGAAGAAGCTAATTACGAAATAAAAATCACTTTCGTACTGAATTCGTTCCTGCGACATACCTGATAATTACATATGTGCACAGAACTTATCTTGTTTTGCTGTGTTATTATTAAGCTGGGAATACATAAAACGCTTATTTGGCTGGCTTCTTCGGAAATGAACAAAGGAGCCTAGGGCCAAAATCGAACTATTTCAACCTAAAACTCCTTTGTTCATTTCCGAAGAAGCCAGCCGATGACTTAAGCCAGCCAAATAAGCGTTTTATGTATTCCCAGCTTTACTGCTGATGTTTGTTCTCAAAAGTTCTCAACACAGCTACAGTTTTCATTGACAGCATGATGTGCTTTTAAAATTCCAGAGCAATGACAGTGTTTATGAAAAAAACTCCAGTTCCCTTTTATTTTCAATATTTCGATGTAGAAGCAAACAATTTTATTTGAATGTATGGAATATATTATTACTATGAAAAGAAGCAATAATAAAAAGACCACAATAAATAGGAATAACACATGACATTAATATTAATTAAGCTTGGTTAGAATTTGTATTTGAAATTCATGCGGAACATATACTGAATGTTGACCTGAGCAATATCATATACAATAAATTCGTTATACAATAGCGAAGACTTGAAGTTTTCATCGGATATAGGCTTGCCGAGGGGAATCTCAACACCATCTTCACGCATGTATGATTCTTTAGGATCAGGCATAGTTCTACCACGTCCAAAACAACTATGCTTGTCTGCAGGTAATTTCGTAATGTACTTCGCAGCAGTGCACTCCAGCATATCCCCGAGTGCTACCTCGGATAAAAGCATTAAGCCGGTAGAGTTTTGCTTGCTAGTACAACAATAGTTTGCCGATTTCGATACCATGTCTGCGAAGTAAATACCCTTGCCAAACATGTAACCTGTTACAGGAGCTTCTGGAGGCGCAATTTTAAGACCATTCGAGAGTATACCAGCAAAATTTGTTAGGCGGGAACCGTGCCACAATAATCGGCGGTTGTGGAGTTTCCTGAATGGCTTATAACGACGTGCTTCTCCTTGTCGAGCAACTTTGAAAATATCGACCACTTCGAGATCGTACATATTGTGTGTAGCTGCATGTGTGTTCTTTACGTATTTCGTAAGTAAATCATATTCTTTGCTATTCTTGTCCAACGGCTCCAATGTCGTCTTCAATTGTTCGTAATGTTTATCAAGGGGATTAATTTCTTCCTTACAATCTTCATTTTGAAGCAAGCTATAAGCACATTCAATTTGCAGCAAGGAGTCTAACATTTGCACCAACTTTTCAACTTGTTCTTTCGTATCTAATAATGGTGGCTTCTCAGTACCAAAACTGTGTGGTATCAAAGTGTAGAAGCGGTTAGTACAGTCAATCAACTTGGCATTTGATCCTCCTTCCTCAATTAGTTTGCATATTTCAGTAAGAACACTGTAAGCAGTCTTTATTTGACTTTGACTTAATTTGCCCAAAGGCATTTTTTCCATGTCTAAATCAAATTCCATCATTGTACGCTTCATTGTGTCAACATCGAACATAAGCTTAATGAGGTCCTGGACTGCCTGAGATAGATTAGATTTGATGTTATGATCGGCACTAAGATCCACTTTGTCGTTGTCCGAGTAATCAATGTCTATTGGATACATGCCGTTAGGTGTCTAAGATATTAACCAAACGAAATAGATTACATTGTATTCAAATTCATAAAAAGAAAAATAAGTACCTTAACGAAATTTGCTCGATTGTCGAAATAGTTACCAGTCTTGTCAAAATATATATCCTTAAAAGACGCAATTGCATCTATTAAATTTGAAAAGCTTTCCAATTTGTTTCCACCAATAGTCGTGCCAATTCGTCCCCATGCTCGAAACACCCAAAATCTATAAAGTAAAAGTAGATATGACAAGGAGTTTTCGATAACAAAATATATTTCATTTACTTTTGCTTGTTGTCGCTTTCGAGGAGTTGCAGTTTATAATAAGAATTCTTGTTACGTTGTATGTCAGTTTTACCGAGCACAACATTAAACTTATCCTTATTTCGGGAAATATAAACATGTGCAACATCTTCCAAGCCACTGTCTGGATCCACAGCTAAGCCATCTTTCAATTTGAGAGTCATTGATTTTGGAACAGATTTAGTGTAAATGCTTTTTGATTTAGCACTTTTCGCCTCCTCTTGGGGAACACGGGCCGCTGGATCAGTGCCCCAGTCACACAAACTCATGCTGCTGATGTAATTTATAGCACCCAACGGATTAGATTTTACATTTTCAATGTATTCAATTGGAATTATATGTAGTCCCATTTCTTTGGCTTTTTTCATGCGGCTTCCCATGCGCTTAATTTCTTTCGGTGTTGAGAAAACAGCAATAGTTTTTTCTGTAATTTTTAAGTCAAGTTTTCCGCCTAGATCGGTCAATTCTTTTCTTAAATCATTTTCCGGATATCCCAAGCCAATATGTGTAAATTCAAGATTATACAATGGTGGGCGTTCCCGTTTAACTTTTGGTCTATAAATAATTAAAAAATTGGAAACAAAATTGTTGATGGTATAAATTATAGGCATGTCTCGCATTTTCACATTATTGGTACTTTCTATTTTTCACCAAAAATGCGGAGGATACTTACCCATCAAGCTCATCGCCCTTTTTGACGCCAATAGATTTACTTATTGTAGATGAACTTGGTGGTATGTATCGTATGGCACGAGATTCGGTTGTTTTGTGAACATCTTTTAAAAATTTATAGGCACCTTTCAATTCAGAAGAAATTTTACATGGTACCCTTTTCGGTTCCTTAATATGATAAGTGCATTTGGTCCATTCCGTCAAAGACCCGTTACATACGTATCCTGATTTGAAAAATAACAATTGCCTTCCATTGCATTCAGGGCAAGGTGGCAAAGCTCCAAATGTTAAAAGATCAGCAATCTGATCCAAACGTTTCTCCAGGTCACCCTGCACTGGTTCTTGACCGTTGTCTTGCAATAACTCAATTATATCCTTTTTGTGCATTTCATCTCGAACCCGATCACGGAATTTGTATAATCGTTTGGACTGTTCTTTCAGTTTCTTCTCTAAATCTTTTTCAGCCTCCTCGTCTTCTCCTTTTATTTGTTCGAGTTTAACTTTTTTAGATGCTGGTGCGTTCTCCGATTTTATAGCTCTAAAAATTACAAAAATATTGATAAATTATTTACCATATCAAAAAGTCTGCAGGAGTGCTGGCGTGTTTAAAAAAATGATAGGGCTGTTGTCCATGCTGAAATATTTACCATCAATAAGATATGTTGTAACATATGATCTATTTCACTAAGATCTCGAGGACTATTTGACTTGAATATAGCAATTCGAAAGTCTAAACCTAGCTTAAATCATGTTTTTATGAGGTAAAAAACTAGACAATATTTTAACAGAATTTTATCAGAATTGCTGAAAATAGGATCAACCATCATTTAAGTCAAAGTTTGAATACGGAGGTAATAAATAATGAGTAATAAACGATATATACCATTATAATGGAGTCGAACGATGGGGAAAGTAAAATGGATCGATTTTTTTATCTGGTTCATAATATATAATGAATACTTACGGCAAAGCCTTTTTTACAATTTCCATGTCCTCAGGCGAGAGATCTTTGAAGCCAGGTAGAATGTCGCCTGCAGCAAACCATCCTAACTCCCCGCGCAATTGTGCAAAACATTCAACATGATGCCAAAGTGGTTGTCCGCCATATTTCATACCAACTTCTGTGTCATATACCGTCTTGCGTATTCGAATCTGACCTTTGAGAATTTTTAGTTCACAACCTCGGCATGCCGCCCTTCCAGATTTGGCGTACTCCAAACCAAAATCTTTTATAGCAGAGTTTTCCGCTATATTTCGTTTTTTGCCGCCTTTACTGGATCCCAAAGATTCCACGACAGAGCTACATTCATCTGAAATGTTTTGGTTTCTATTACCAAATTTACACAAATTGTATTTTTGTTTTACCTATCTTTTTGCGAATCCTTTCTTGATCTTCAAAACGCAAACTCTCAAAATTTTCTACATCACCAACTGACCCGGGACGTTGTTTCTTAAAGAAGCATGATTCGTGGAACCAATTTGGCTGTTTACCATCATGGAAGGCAGACTGAAACAAAGAAAATATACTTTACATATATACATACATATGTATACATATATAAATTAAAATGCAAGGTATTGTTTGGAGATGTGGTGGAAACTTCCGTAATAACAATCTAAAATAGTAATTTGTAAAATTATAAAACAAAATCGAAGATAAGTGTTCGCAAAACTTCGTGTTTGTGCGTTGACCGGAACAGTTTTTTGGTCGTCGTGATCGTTTTTTATTCGACACGATTTAGCACGCGTTGAGCATTCGATGAGGAAGTAATATTGGAGTACCAAAATATAACTTACTACTTTAAGAAATTATTTCCTTTATTGTAAAACTGAAAGCTATCTAAATTTGGCCTTTTCATGTTTCCTACAATTGCAAAATGTAGAATACTTTATGTGTGTATACAGTTTGCTTTCAATTTGAAAGGGATGTTGCCTTTTCCACGATTTTCTAGCGATTGCTAGAAGTGTTGAGAGATTAGGACATACAGCTAACAACTGTACATTCAGGGGAATGGTATGAAAGCATTCAAACTAAATAATTGAGGAGCTATTCTTCTGCATATTAAATTTAATTCTACAAATTCCAAAAATGTATATTTTTGAAATTAAAATAATTTATTGAAAATTAATTGTTTTGTTTACATCCGTTGATTATTTACTAATTAATCTGGTTCTTCCTCGATACCCTGGTTTAGGAATTCTGTTACCTTTATGGGCTGTAGCAAAAGATCCTGATAGCCCTCATGATCTAGGGGCTTTCTCTTATATCGCTAGACCTCTCTCTCTAGATCATGAAGGTAATTCCTGACAAGCCTGGGTGGGCAAGTTCTGTCCACCATACGGTAGTAAGAATGACTCCCATGACAACACCCAAGCAGGTACTGCAACGAAAGCATATGATTATGCTGACGTAAGGGAAGAAACTTCGTCTGCTCATGTAAATGGTCCACAGGGGTCATGAGGGCGGTAGGTCTGAATACTTTTCACTGCGTTGCATTTGTATTCGCAGACCACGCTGGAGCCGCATAGCTAACCACAGACCAACCTATAGCTTTATAAGATGTCAACAAGGTTTCCTTATCCGCACCCCAAGTGCTGCCGGCTAGCGTATTGAGGACCTTGTTCCTACTTTTCAGTTTATCGCAGATGAACATGCTATCGAATGTGACCCCAAGGATTTTGGGATAGTTAGTGGTCGAATTATATGCCACTCGACCTGCACATTCAGCTGTGTTCTTGTGGTAAATAGTGTGGCCGTTGATTTAGTGGCGGATATTTTCATATTCCTCGCATGGAAAAAGGCGGCAAGCTCCGCGAGATAGCTGTTCATCCTAACACATATGTCATCAACTACAGGACCTTTACTGGGATCCTTGCCTGGCTTCAGTAGCACATTTTCCAGGATTCGGGAACTATGTGGTTGGCTAACAACTTTGATTAGATACTCAACTCAAGGCGTATCAAGTTGCATCAACATTACCATTGATATTCCGTCCGGGCCCAACGCTTTAGATGACTTAGCGTTTCTGATGACATTCGAAACATCACCCATTGTAAACTGTGGATGTACATGCTCGGCGGGAAGAGCTCTTATACGACGTAGTACTCTTCGCCTCGCCCTATCACACTCGTGGTGCTCGATAAATTGGCGGTTAAAATGGCCAGCGCACCTTTTCGGATCAGTCACCGTTACGTCGTCAAATGTGACTGCTGTCCTATCATCCTTTTACCCAGGGTTCGAGAGTGACTTTACCGTTACCCACAGTTTACTCAAATCGGTTCCAATGTTGCAACACTTCAGATGGTTTAGCCACCTTTTCCGCTTATGCTCCTGTACCAACCTGTTGACTTCAACTGTCAGTTCACTGACTCTGTCCCGGAAAATCCTTTCTACTACCCGAACATCAGAAGGGTTGAGCAGTTCTCTGAAGCGAAGGTTGGTGAACTCTCTGAACTCAGGCCAGTGGGTTTTCCCATGGTTAAGGAAAGTGCGGCGTTCAGAAGTTAAGAAATCGGGCGATCTGCTTATGAAGACGATTATCGGGAGATGGTCTGAGACATGAGAAATGACGGGTTGCAAAGTCACGTTATTTATCAGACCGGGTGACACAATGGTTAAATCTGGTGAGCTTTGACACTCCCCTCTTATTCGGGTAGGGGCATCCTCGTTTACCGTGCAAAATGTGGAGCAGTCAAGCAAACGTTTCTCGGCGATTTGTTCGGCAACTCACAGCCAAAGTACATCAAAGCAATCGTATAGTTTGGGTATTTCCGGCATTCAAATGTTTGTGGTTTTGTTTGTTTGGAGTACAAAACGATTGAAAAAAATTTATAGTTTGTGACTTCGTGTGAGCAGTATGCGATTCGTTTCGTTTGTTTTCGTTCGCAGGTGATACCAACAAGCGTTAAATATCGTTTCCAGAATATCGAATACAGGCGATGAAGAATTCTGTAACATCGCAGATATGACGCCACCCCGCCCAGGCTGGAAAGTATCACTTAAGTTTGTTTTGTTAATTAGCCTATTTAGCAGGTTGTCATCACCCTATGACCTAAGTGGAATGGAGTTGCGCCCACTGCAACCATTTCCGATATCTTCAGAGTTAGCAAAATGTACTCTCGCTACGAGGTGTAGGAAGTTAAGACTAGAGTCTGTCCATTCGTCATCTTCTTTACCAATTGGCTAGGGATTCCTTGACAGTGCCGAAACCTTGCTATTACCATGAATCATTCTACAGTCTCACAGAAATTCAACCATGAGTTCTTCTTCTGGTAAGTTCAATCTTTTTTTGTCCCGCCCCAATCCGTGCCAAGGATTACGGAAAATGCAACTACTATTCTTTAAATATTATTGAATAATAATAATATTTTGAAAACATGGGCATAGAATAAAAAGTGCACAGTGAATCACAGGAAAGACAAGAAATAAGTAGTTCTGTGTGGGATGTTGAAAGAAAAAAATTTTTATTTTGTAGCAAGTAAAAGAAAATGTATTTATTCATTCACTTGTATCACTAATTAATGTTTTGTATATCATCATAATAATCCTGGCAATTTCGAACAAAATCGTACAGTACATAGTATAGTATATTTCATTTCATTACACAGCGAACTATTAAGAAGCCCACAGGGCCCATTACTTATATAATGTAACTACAATACGCTAATTACCAAATTCAATAAAGTTCAATAAATAACAGACTTAAAATAAGTAATCTTGTCTAAGAATTCGATAAAAACCGAAGTTTATGCCACGATACACCGTCTTCAAATAAACAAAAGTCTAGTAGCCTACGCAGATACTCAATACAAAATACGAATCTATCACGAAGAAGCGATTCAACATTACAATGACTTTGAAGAACATGAAGATCAACATACACATAACGTGCATTTGTATTTGACCAGAGGTGCCAGAGATGACCTCCCGACAAGAATTCACTTGCGACAACAACAAAAAGACGGTCACTAATATGAAAAGTCAAAGACGCATCTAGACAATGCAGTATCCGTAGTTGAAACCTTATACAGCAAACCAAGACATCAATGTATATCTTAAAGTTCAACTTCTGACCATTACTGTTTAGGTAATACTATAAACATCAAATAGTTAACATCACTGTAAACTAGCGAATACACATATTGCCCTCATATACACTCACACTAGCCACTACACTGATCTCTCACACATAGTCGGTCTCAATCAGTCTTACAAACAACACTGTCATGGTAGAAAACAACAAGTCGTAACCCAGCAAGCAAAATCTATCCCCCAAATCACTTAGAAGTCACGCCTAAGCGATTGAAATCATCGCGTCTGATATCGCTTTCTCACCCCGGAAGGATCATCCTTCGGGAAGGGATGAACCACGCCCGCGATAGTTTTCTTAAAATCGTGGAAGTCACTTCCTCGATAGTTATTGGAAGTGAAAAAACAAAAAACAAAAAAAAATTTTTTACTCCAGACTTAAGCATTTATTATTTTTTATTGTTATTGTTACGTTTTCCAATGTTAATTTACATAGAACTCTTACTTATTAGATGAAATATTCAAACATTTTTTTTTTCGTTTTAAAAATGTGATGTCTGCATTGGGAATCGAACCGAGGTGTTCAGAGAGCAAAGCTGGCATGCTTACCACTGCGCCACAGTGTCTTATATTCCTCAGATAGAATAAAGTCTTATTTATGTTCAATTCATGAATGATTGTAAACTATCACTGTTTTATCCGATGGCAGTCACTACATAGTGTCTGCACACGAGATACCTTCTTTTAACTTTCTTGCGCCACTACGTAGTAACTACGTGACGATAGAAAGTAGACAACAGTAGTTTTGTTATTGTAAATGTACATATATCGCATTTAATAGGATTAGAAGCGTCGCAGAAGTGGCATCTTAAAATGGAAGTGAGTCACTCACTTCCAAATGCTTGCTGGGAACATGTACATCATCTTTCCCAGCAAGCAAAAACTATGCCCCAAATCACTTAGAAGTCACGCCTAAGCGATAGAAATCATCGCGTTTGATATCGCTTTCTCACCCCGGAAGGAGCATCCTTCGGGAAGAGATAAACCACGCCCGCGATATTTTTCTAATAATCGTGGAAGTCACTTCCTTGATAGGTATTGGAAGTAAAAAAACAAAAAACAATTTTTTTACTCCAGACTTAAGAATTTATTTTTTTATTGTTTTTGTTACTTTTTCCAATGTTCATTTGAATATAACTCTTACTTATTAGACGAAATATTCAAACATTTTTTTTCGTTTTAAAAATGTGATGTCTGGATTTGGAATCGAACCGAGGTGTTCAGAGAGCAAAGCTGGCATGCTTACCACTGCGCCACAGTGTCTTATATTCCTCAGATAAAATAAAGTCTTATTTATGTTCAATTCGTGAATGATTGCAAACTATCACTGTTTTATCCGGTGGCAGTCACTAGATAGTGTGTGCACACGAGACACCTTCTTTTACCTTTCTTGCGCCACTAAGTAGTAACTACGTGAA